TCACTCACTTATGTAATTCGGTTTCCCCCATACTAACAACCATAGGGTGTCGTACCTATAACCTAACTTCCTCATGAATTGGTGGGAGACTAGTTAGGTTTGAGTAAGTGGGATAGTCCTGAATCAAACCATGAGATAAGAGCTACCACCAATTCCAACGGTCGGTGCCAAGGCTAATTCCTGATTCTAACGTCACTGCTAATACCATGTGGATTTCAACCAATCTACTCCTCTCCCTAGGTGAACTCCTGCCAATAATCATGCTATGCACATTTCTCACATAATATGTATTTTAACAATCAATTTATAGTACATGAACTCACATAAAGTCAAATACTCCAAAAACTCAACATATGATCCATCAAAATTCTCCACCTATAATAACAAATCACAATTAATTTTGTAAAACACAAAAAGTGGCATAATCAAGGTTATCTTCCCAAAACCATTTCGCAAGTCAATACATTGCCATGTGCATCATTGATTTAAATCATAAATCACATTTCATAAACACAATTAACATTCAACTAGAAGGATTAAGTTTCCCCCGGTTACCTCAAACCTTTGAGAGATCAAAGGTTTACCCCTCACTATACTAACTTCCCAAAGCTTTAAAAAGCTCGAATGGTGATAAAATGAATCACACTATAATCATACCACAAGAGTATCATCATTGTCTCAATCTTGAAAATTTATCAACACAACTCCACACACTCTATTTTATCAACCCATAGTCACTACCCATTTATACCCAATGAGCTCTTTAGGTTCTATTAATACATATTATCACTAATAACACCTTAAACGATCATTAATGTACATAAAACCTCTCCCAACTACCATATTTATATCAATTTTGGATATTAAATGCTCCCATAGACCAACTACTTCTAAAATCATTAATGTGGTATTCTAATACCTTAAACAACTTCAATTATACTCATTTTAACCAATGAAATCGGACCCATAATCTGATGGACCAAAAATCCATCTCCTAACTCAACCTTACCATGACTCATCATAAATGAGGGAGACACTAGTATAAAATATGAAATTTAAGGAGCACTTTTTACAT